AGCATGTGACATACACGACCCCATCAAGGAGGGCCCCAGTTTAAGGGTCAATGACTTTCCTTGCACTTCAAGCAGTAGCCCTGGGAAAGGCCTGGAACCCAGAAACCCTGTGCTGAGGACAGATCAGCGGTCCTATGTGAACACTGCCCAGGACCTTTCCTTCCTCGACCCAGAGACTCAAATGAAGCTGGACTCAAACATCATGCAGCTTCCTGTGAAACACAGATGGAGATCATATCTACAGACTCTTGAGTCAAGGGATCTCACCCCGCCGGGGGTTCCAGCCTCATCTCTTCCCCAGCCTGTGTATCCCTCCTCACCCACCTCTGTTTCTAAGTCAGAGTACTGTCCCAAGGCTGTCGTGATCCTGGAGAAATTGCATCACCAAGACCCAGGAGGGACAAGGTTAGAAACTCTATCAGTTGCCAGCCTACGGAGTCCTCTATTTGCATACTTGCCTTCAGAGGTTCAGGTGCTGCAAAGTGCCACTCCATCTGCTGCCAGCCATGGACCCTCCAAGGCCCATCCAGATAGAAAGCACAACAACTTAAGCACTCGAGCCCATGATTACTGCCTCCTGGCAAGGACACAGCAGAACAGGACTGTCCAAGGGACTGGAAGAGGCAACCTGCAACCAAGGACCAGTCCAAGAATTGGCAGGCATGAACCATGGAAGATGTTTAACAATGTGACCTCAATAAGTTCCTGTCTGAGTGGGACAATGGTTGATCCTGAAGTAAGAATCCCATCTTTAGTGGCCAAACAGACCAACAGAATAGCCAAGGTGAAAAAAGAGACACATCCTCCAGGGAAAGTGATCCTTGGGTCCAGGAAGATTCCCAATGGCCAAAAAATCAATACCAATCCCAGAGAATTTAAATCTGTAGCAGGCAATAGAAACCCAGGCCATTTCCAAACAAGTCCACAGTACTCAAGAGGTTCAGCTCTACAATCAAAGGTGCTTAATAAGGTTGACTTCAAATCAAACAAGCAGCCACAGCCATGGCCAACGGAGCTTCTTCTAGACTGTCAAAGTGATGTGTGCCCCTTCACAGTCAGCTTGCCTTCAGGGCACTCACTGCCCAGCTTCCAGAATAGATCCAAAAATCCCAAGACTTCTCAGGGCCTAGGTGATCCGTTCCTGAGGAAACATCACAGCCAGGAGACTCAGAAACTTAGGGTCCCCAAGGATAAGATTCCAGCAAGTAATCACAAAATATTTCATTCCAGTGAAGAGAGGAAGGATGTTATGAGATCTAAAGCCAAAAGCCAGGGAGAAAAGTTGAGGAGAATGGGGCTCTCCCAAGCCTCAGGCCTCACTCAACTCAAGGATACAGACATCACTGAGCATCAGCCTTCCTCTGATGTGCCAGCAAAGGAGCAGGCTCCTGCAGGAAGCTTTCTGAAGAAAACAGTAAGGAATATTCTACAATATCTCAACCTCAGCGCAAAAGACAAGGAGCAGGGGGGTTCTCTGAAGAATGAAAGCCCCCCACCATCTCCTATACAGAGTCAGGAGGTAGCCACAAAGGAGAAGCTCATCTACAATATGGCAGCTGAAGCACAATCTCTCGTGGATGTTGTGGTACAGATCCTGATGGACAGGCTGGGCCTTGATCTAGAGGACTCATCAAAGGTACCATGGTGTAGAGTGGAACCCATGGCATCCCCACTGGGTGTCTCTTCCCATTCTTCTAAGGATCTCTATGCCACAAAGAAAAGCAAACCAGTGAGAAGAATGAGCTCTGGTCCCCACACCAGTCCCAAAGGACACAACCATCCATTCATACACAGGGGAATCGGGGACAAACAACAGTGGAGCGTTGATGTCCAGCAAGCCTGTGACCAACATCAGAACAGAGTGAAGAGGGGAATGGGCTTCGACTCACTCCCCACCCTCAAGGGGAAGACCCAACCATTCCCGTACAGGAGAACTGGAGACAAGCAACAGTCAGGCATGGCCACCAAAACAGCCTGTGACCCATATCAAATTAAAGTGAAGAGAGAAATGGGCCATCGTCTGTCTAGCAGCCGCAAAGGGCACAACCATCTATCCTTACACAGAGTAACTGGAACCAAACAACAGTCGGATGTTATCCATAGAGCCTGTAGTCCACATCAAAGTACAAAGAAAGGAATGGGTTATGGTCATCTCAACAGCTTCAAGAACAACTATCCGGTCACACACAGGGGAACTGGAGACAGAGCAGTCATGTGTTCCTACCAAGGGAGCTGATCACCCCAAACAGACCTTACCAGCAAAGGCAAAGGAGCAGGTGCCTCAGGCCACTTTGGCCTTTGCCCACCAGTAAGTCTCCCAGCAGCCATCTCATCGCACAGCCATTGTCTCCCCCAGTGCTCTCCTGGTAATAAACATTGGCTTTTTTCCTACAAAGCGAATCTTCTTCCTACTGAAGCTCGTCTACTGTTGCTAATGGCTCCTTCCCAGATGGGAGGTGCTTCCTAGTTCATCCTCATGCCTTTCAGTGCAGTGGTTTCTGTCTTGCAGTGATGGGGTGGGAAAGGTCAGCATCCTTCTGCCCCACGGCAGTCTCCGGCAGGGATGGGGGCATGGAGGGGTGGGGTAGTCTGTCTTCCTTTCTGACTAGAGCAGGAGCCAGACTAGAACTTACAGTGTGAGACCACAGTTGGCTACTGAGGGCTGAGTCACACAGGCCTGCCCAGTAACACAGGAAGTGCTCTCAAAGGGCCACAAGCATCTCTTTGGGGTCACTCAGTCCCCTCTCTGGGGACTGGTATCCATCTTGCCCATGTCATGGGCCAGACCCAGAACCCGAGACTCTCAGTCATCATAGTCCCCAAGTGGGGTTCTCTACTTGGGCTAAAGCTCCCGAATGCTCATCCTAGGTAATATGATTACCTCTCCATCTTTCACAAAACTAAACGCTGTAAACAATAAATGGTGTTCACCTCCAATGAAAGAATATATCCTGATTTTGTGCAGTTTTAGGTGACATCTAAAACTGGCCAAACGGTTAAACGGCCTGTTTTTCTAGTGCAGACAATATCTTCCTATATTAATGCACGTTGCCACTGTGCGGGCATCTAATATGCAGTTCCTGTGATATTACATCGATGCTATAGAGAATTTCTAAGTAATTTTTAGATTCATCTCTGGTGTTATATTTCTTGTGGTTAAGGTACAAATCCACAATCCTTAAAAAGTAATGAAAGTTAAATGGCATCATAAATTAAATGGCCCTAACAGAACATCCTGGCAAACACTAAAGAATACATGCTCTCCCCAGCAGTTCACGGGACTTTCTCCAAACTAGACCAAACATTAGGACAAAAAGAAAGTCTCAGCCAATACAGGTAACTGAAATCACATGCTGCATCCTATATGACCTCTATGCACTAAAGAAAACACCAAACATACACAAGTTCATGGCTACTAAGCAACACACCATTAGAATAAAATTGTATGAGAAATCAATAATATTTTTAATTCTGAGACTTAAATGAAAGAAAAATGAAAATATGACATATCAAAATCTGTGGAACACAATGAATGACAGGCAGTCATAAGAGGAATATTTATAGCACTATGTACCTACACCAGAGTCTGAAAGATCTCAAATAAACACTCCAAAGATGCACCTGAATGCCCTAGAAAAACAAGAATAAGCAACAGCCAAAAAATTTAGGAGGAAAGAGAGAATTAAAATCAGGAATGAAATTAATGAAATAGAAACTTAAAAAACACAAAATATCAACAAACCAAAGACTTGGCTCTTTGAAAGGATTAATACAGACAAGTCTTTGACCAAATGAATCAGAAGAAAGAGGGGGTAAACACCCAAAATAACAAACTTAGAGATAAACAGGGGACATCATAACAAACACTTGGAAAACTCAATCATTGGAACATATTTTAAAACGATATATTCCGCCAAGGAGGGAAATCTAAAAGAAATAGATGGATTTCTAGATCTATACAACCTAAGTAAGATGAGATAAATAAATAGATTCACAACGCCCATTGAAACAGAAGTATATAATACACAAGGATGTGGAGGCCAGAGGGCCACTTTTGGGGTAGGTTCTTTCCTTCTGTCATGGGATTTGGAGATTGAACTCAGGTCATCAGCAAGCAGTTTTACCTGCAGATCCATCTGAATGGACCTCTCCTTTTTATTCTTTCTTTTAAATGTTTTATTGACTATCTCTTTCTCCTACCTCCCTACCCCCCCATGTGTGTCTGTGTACATACATGTGACACAAACTTTAAAATCAACTAAGAAAAATTCCAGGACCAGGTAAACTCAGTGAAGGACTAGCATCAATGATCCTAAACTTCTAAATCCTAACTTTGTGGGGGTGGGGGGGATAAAATATTCCAAGACTTGAATTACAAATGCCTAAACCCCAACTCCAGAGTTACAAGCATGATATTTCACATTCACCAAATATAACCAACTCTAAACACTATCAAAAACAACTTAATTCCTAACATTTGAACAGACACTGTCGCCTACATAAGAATACACATATTAGATTCTCAACACTCAGCACAAGACATGACTATATTCAATAAATTACACATTGCATTGTTAGCCTATGCTCTAAAGCACATGTAACAAATCGCACAGTCAGTTTCCTCACAGCCCATGAAACCAGCAAGCACTCCATCATATTTCCATGAGAATGATCACGCCAAAATTCTCATGCCCTCCAAAATCAAAATGCATACTTCCTTACATTCGCAAACACACAGACTCCTAACTTCCTATCAACACACACCCATATGCTCTCTCTCTCTTTCTCGCTCTCTCTCACACACACGTGTGCCCACACAACACCCTATGTGATTTTACTCATATAATAGACACAAATTTAATAAAAAAAATCTTCACTGTAAATTCCTTTTACTCATCTAATTCTCACATAATGCTTTTCTTGATTCTTGCCATTTTTACATGCATGGGAAGATACAAAATGGACAAAAACCTAAGCTTTTTGATTGTGCGTGTCCCTAACATTGCCGTGTAAGTGTTGCAGCTGGGACGGACATGTATCCTGGCAGTCAGGAGCCAGGGAATACTACAAAGTCACTTTAAGCATTGCAGCTCTGCTCTGGCAGAAGTGTTACAGCTCTTCTTCTGGGAATGGTTTCGGGGGGGCGGGCAGGATTTTCCAGGGTGACTTGAGATTGATGGAGGTTTGTGGCCTGATTCTGGGGCAAGCTCAAGGAATGGTGGAATTCTGTGGCCTGACTAGAAGGCACTAGAGCCCATGATTCACTTGGACTGTGCTTCCTGGGAGCCTGTCACATGACTGGGAGTCATAGCACATGATTCCCCTTTTTCCAGGCCCGGGCATCATGAGAGTGCAGGAGGACCAAAGGCCTGCCTCAATAGTCACCTGCAACCTGGACCGGTGCTGATCCCATTAGCAAGCTATTCAGTATTTCTGGGCCTGCTTCCAGTGCTAGGCATGAGGCTTGCCTGTGTTCACATGGTTATGGAATCCAAATTAGATGGAGTTGGTGGCCAATGACCAGATGACTGTCATGCAAATACAAGTGCAAAGGGAGGTTGTCTACCCTTGTCAATATAAGCTGCTCCTCCACAATGGTCTGGGGTCAGGATCAGAGAGGAGATATGCTACCTGCTACCCTCCAAAGGCACAGAACTGCCTTTTCTCAGTCACCTTTGCTCCTCTCAAAAAGGCAGGGTCAGTGACAGCTGTGCTTGGAACTGAGGCCTCAGCAGCTTCATACGTCCCTGCTCTGCACTCAGGCCAGTGTCAAGGTAAGAGAAGGCCCTGGAAATTTGTCTTCTCCCACAAGTTAGTATTCGGTGGACTCAATGGCATTCTTAGCGATAAACTGCCCACACAATTGCCTCCTGCAACCACACTTCTGTGGGAAGCTGCTCTTCATTGCACTAGGAAGGTGTCCAGAACATTATAGGCAATTCACACAAAAGGACACACAAACTGACATGGGCTGGTTGATCAGTGATGATCAAGGTTTCTGTTCAGGCCTAACCCCAAAGGCGGGCACTGGATACAACTTAGTTCGGTAGCTACCAATAATGCCACGTGAGACCACTGTGCACCAGACCTGGCACGGTTCACTCACCTTACTTTTCTGACGTGGGGCACCATCTCAGCAGTCCGGCCAAAGTGACACACATTCTTCTCCAGCTTGCTGGGCACTGTCCTGTCAGACAGAAGACAGACTTGGTTCTGATTAAAAACTCCTCACACAAAGGGTCCCTTCCTTACCCTTCCTAATTTGTTGGACCAGCATACCGTGGGGCTAGATAGGTCTCCTGGCCTGGGGGGAAATCAGGGACGTGGAACAGTCAAAGGAAGTTAAGGAGGGAGGGGATGCAGCTGTCCTTGGGGGCTCAGCTGTCCTTGGGATGCTTCCCAAGCTTTGATCTGCTCTAAGTGCCAGGATACAGGAACCATATGACCCCAGAGCCACCGCCATCCTGCCTCCCCATACTCACCCCATCAAGGCTATTCACCAATCTGGGATTACAGGTTCCACTAGTAATAGTCCCACAAAGTCAAAACCACTGCTTTTCTCTTATAAGCAGAGTCTGGGGATTTGAAGGAGCCTACACATAAAAAGAGGGATGTGGAAGAGGACAGTGGCCCAGGATATCTGAAATGGTCCTCAAAGTGCTGTGCAAGGGTCTGGGTCCCCGAGCCACCACGCAGAGTCTACAGTGTGCTGCACGGGGGCTGGGTGGCCCCAAATGACAGTAGGACCAGGGTCGACATGGTAACACCTAATCCAAAGTGGTTTACAGAAGCACACAACACAGGGTGAGGGAACACCATCAAAGCGAGCAATGTCATGGCAGACGGCAGCAGACAAGACTGTGCTGGAGGAGTAAACTAGGCAGAACCTCTCCTGATTTCCTGGCACAGTGCACACACACTCGGGCACCAACACTGCCACTAGTGTCTCCGTAGAGAAAGCTCTGCCTTCAAATCAAGTCAGGCACCAACTGCCTCAGTAACCCTCGCTCACTTCCAACTGTGCCTGACCCAGGGTCTGATTGGTCACAATCCTCAAATTTAGCCAATCAGACTTGCCAGGTAGGATGGGCTCTCCTCATTGGCCAGCTTTAAGTCATGTGATCTGTGGCTCATAGGTACTGAGAAAGTGTTCGCTCTCTGTTAAGGTCAGAACCTGGGAGTGCTGTGTTAAAGAGGCTTGGCGTGTTCAGTGCCCTGTGTCTGGGGAATGTGCCTACCCACGCTGCCTCCCTCACCCCACTGTCTTCTGGCCATAGAAGAGCTCGGGAAGGCATTTCTTCCCTTCCCAGACCCCATCGCACAAGAAATAGTCTGACTTTCTTAAGGTCGGAGTTCGGGTTTGCCTCCAGCTATTAACTCTCTTCCTTGAGGGACGAGGCAG